TCCATCACCCACAGGCAGCAACATGAGCTCACAAGGTCATTTCTTCCTTGCTCGCCAGCTTGGCCTCTTCTGAGAGAAAATAATGGTTTTTTTTACAGCATGCTGCTGCCTACAACTGAATATCCTAAACTACTATGCAACTATCATAACCTTTCGCATCATGCTCTGAGCATCAAAGAGCTCTAACAGCCTCATGCCTCCTCCACAGCAGCTTGCTTCTCCTGCATTTTCTGCCCTTTCCGAGGATAGTCCTGGTCAACCTCCTGCTTCCTCCTCTGCAGCTCCCAGTGGGCTCCTTACCTCCCGGCAGCCAGGAGTGTTCAGCCGCATGGCCCCACGCACCATGAGCCCACCCTGCACAGCTGGATTGTGTTTCATACACCCCCACAAGCAGCTCCAGATCCTTGTCCCCTTCAGATGGTTCTCATCACACTCTGCTCAGGCCATCTTCCTAATCACCCAGCCTCCCAAATGGAAACAATGACCAATAAATATAACATGCTGAACTATTTCTTAGTGCAAGGGATGTAAAACAAACTCTTCCAACAGCAAAGAAAGATGGTTACAGACACAGCTGGCTTCAAACTGGGTTTCACTTCTTCATTTTAGAAAATTGTGGAGAAGTTTCCTTGCATTTGAGGGCAAAGCTGCACTCCTGATGGAAGTTTCTGACAGAAGAACCCCCCAAGATACCACAGTAGGGAACAGAAGACATGAACAGTAATAAAAGGGAAAAAATAAGAAATCATGGGAAGGACTGAATGCAGGGAGAGTTTGTGAGATACCCGAAAAGTACTGTAGAAGAGACTTTACTGCTTGCAACTGAGCAGGACAAGTGCTAGGGGCAAAAAAAACAGCCTCCCAGAAAAAAGCAGGGGTACAAGATGAAATGCTGGGCAGGAATAAAGTAAGGTAAAATGGTAAGGGAACCTCAGTGCTGGGTGATGAGAGCAAAATACTCAAATAGGACCCTGGAAAGGAAGAAGCTGAGTCATCCCCTAGCAATGCTGGAGGAGAAACTGCCAGGGTGAGGGAGGAAAGCCCAAACCTGCACCATCTGGGCCCAAGCAGACAGACTGAAAAAGTGTTCGCGGGAACCTAATGCTCCTGATCTGCCTGCAGCGGCCTTTGAAGACACAAACCTCTGTTTCGTGTGACTGGACATGTATCTGTTAAAGGTGTAACTGCCAGCAGCCCAGCCTTCTAAGCCACAGCAAAATGCAGCTGTGCATTCGCTGACCAAACCAGAGACACTGTCGGCATGTGGCCCAGGACACAGCTAGCCTCCTGACTGATGCAACCCAATTTTTACATGCTTTTTTTTTTTTTTTTTTCATGCTTCTGTCAGAAACCTGTTTAGTCAAGCCCCATTAGAGCTAGGAGACTGGACTCTCAAAAGAAAAACAGGTGAGAAGGGGGTGGCCCACCAGAGGCCTCCCAGATGAACTCAGCAGCACTCTGGAAAGACTTTCGGGAAAAGGAGCTATTTTATCCCCCTTTCCATAAACCTGCCTTGCAACATAGCCCTGCTGCAACGCAGCAAAGCAGGAGACTCCCAAATGCAGCTCCCTTCGTGACACACTAGCACCCTTTCCCCTCTGCTCTCCCCAGAGGCTTCCAAGGCACACGATGGCGTAGCTCCCCACAAGGAAACTCAGGGGCCTGCTCAAGTTTTGTGGCTGAGATAAAACATGTGCTGCTAATTTCAGCTTCCGCCTTCTGGCATGCAGGCAGGCTGTTGCTGGCGGGTTGTGGCTCACCTGCAAGTCAGGCAGCCGCTGGCTGTGGGGAAGGGGCCGTGTCTGCCCAACCACGACGCCAGAGGCCAGCTCTGCCCCGCTGTGTCCTTAGAGGTTGAAACAAAAAAGCCAAGAAAAGTTGTTGATGGTGAACTTCATGAAGGAAACTCTGTCAGAGGCAGAAGCTGAACCTGGTTTAGGCTCTATCCTAAGCTCCCTGCCCACCCTCCTGTGAGGCCAGGTTATGTTTAAATTGTATTACTTAGCACCAAAGTGAAGTACCCAAGCCCAAATAAGGCTTGTAAACATATACTCACCTATCCTATATGCATACCAAGATACATCAGTAGGGGATCACCAATTATTTACTTCCTATAACTAGGTGATTACAGTGAAAATTTACTTTGAATTGGTTCTTATGTGTTACCATATAATAACATGCTGCCTTTTCTTGCCTCTGCATTTCAAGTAATTCACAGACTGTAAAAATAGAATACTTTCCCCCAAAAGACATTCAAATGAAAGTCTGCCTGGTCTTCTTGCTCTTGGGTAGTAATTATCTATTTAATTACACAGCTCCATTCTTTGCACTCTCTGTTGCAGAGAAAAGATGCTTTTCCAGATGAAACGGTCCTCAGACATCTCCAAAACCAGGGCCACCGATCACTGTTTCTGCAGCTCCTGAATGAAAGTCACTGCAGACTGAAGTGATAGAAGGTCTTACTCTAACAAAGGAATTACAGGAGTTTAAGCAGGAGCCGTATTTTCTTCCTTTATGGCTTTGTATTTGTAATTTTCTGCCACAAAAAAACAACCCTCTGTGGACCAGATACATGTATGGCTCCTTCCCCTTGACCTAAATGAGAGTTTGCACATTTGTTCAAGGGCCGTAACAGAAGAGATGTTGCTTTCTGTTCTGTAATTTCACCACAGGCATCATCCAGGTCACAACCAGTGTTGCTAGACTGAAGAGATGTATCCGGTGTCTGTTACTGTTTTTTCATGATGGATTCCAGGAATAAATTAACTTATATGTTTTTAATTATATTAAATCTCTACTCCAAAGATATGGAGATTTTAAATGAGATTACGTCTGCAAGATCCTGAGTTCCTGTAGATGACTCTACCATGGGTGCATCTCATCTTTGAAAATGAGATGTTTGACATACTTGCAAATATTGGACAGATGCAGGCTGATAAATTAAATTATTTTGTGAATTCTTCTCCTACGCTTATTAAAAACATAATTGTTCCCATTTGAAAGAATGATCTTATGCTTAAAATGATTAGGGCAGGGTTGTATCTTATTCTCTGGTCAGAGCATTAGTCTAGCTATCATAATCCCTGTATGGATTAACCATGATGACAACTATCCTTCCTGAACAACTTGCTTAAGCATTTTCCAAAACTCAGGAACTGAGAAAATTTAAATTAATGGCTGTGATAAGTCATAAGGAAAATCATTTCAACTAAGTAAGCAGATGCTGTAATGCTACTGGCACAAAAGTAGCAGTGGAGCCAATAAAACCGATCTTGAGAAAACAAGTTGCTAGCCACAAAGCACCTGGCTGCAAATACTGGCAGGCATACTTCTCATAGCAACAGTTTCAGTAACGTGACCTTTCTGTTACCTGGTTTCAGGCTGTGTCATTTATCTGAATTACAAGAAAGGAAGTGCTTCTACCTTCAGTACAGCTCAAAAGAGACGGATCTATCCCCTAACATGTAAGAAATGCTTTGTTGACCGTATTGTTCAATTCTTGAGGCCAGAAGTCCCATTACAGATACAGTTGGTTTGATATTAAAACATAAAACTGTCTTTGCATGTATTTTCTCACAAATACATGGCCTCCCAAACAGTATTCTAAGATACAGGAACCTGCTAATCCTGATGTTAGACTAGGTATTTTGAGATGGTATTGGAGTTGGAAGTGAAGGTATTTTTTCAACAGACACAACTGTGAACATGCCAACCATCTACTTACGCTGCTAATCAATCTCTCCCATACAAATGCCCCTCCAACACAAAATTAGTAATTGCAACAGGAAGCAAATTCAGGCTTTGCCTACTTCCCCATGTGTGTTCAGAATAAGATTAATTTAGGTCTCAACTAAGCAAATGAAACAAACCAGTTTATCATAAACGTTTGAACTCTTACTATTACACCTCCTGTCTAGGTGCAGCCACCACAGATTTGTTTGGCCACTTCAGTGGAGGTGAGGAGGAGAAAAGCTGGATTCACATTTCAAACAAACAAGTTAAAACTGCTAGTGTTTTTTGTAATGAAACCATTTCATGAATTGAAAACATCTGCTTAAGAGCACCACCAAGAGGGAAAGAGGAGGCAGACGTGCTCATTCCCTCCGTCCTCACAGGTCTCTGAGGGCTGCCAGCGGTAGGGCAGAAGACCACTCTCCTCCTCCAGACGACCACACACAGAGAGTACAAAAGATGAAAACCTGCACATGGGACAAGTTCTCCCCACAGCTTGCTGGCAAGTACAGAAAGCCAAGTACTTCTCTAACTAGGGCTGTCCAGTGTTGGCTTACTAACAGTCATTTAATCTCTGTAAAATCCATGGGTTTAAGCAGAAACACCGAATCTGTAGAACCATTTCATCTTTTCAGGCAAAGCACACTTGATACTTGAACAGTGACAAGATAAGCTCATTGGGCTGTGTAACTGCAGCTGAACAATAAGCTGGCTAAAGGAAGGGTTTATCATCAGGTATCGCTTGTCAAACTCACAGCCTTGAAGGAGGCTGTTTGGCATAAAATGCTGGAGAATTGGGTGTGTGACTGCAGGCTGTTCTTATCCCCTGGGGTGGTATTTGCTCTCACCACAGTCATAAAGCCTCTGAGACACTGAGAGAACTGCCTTTGGTCCATGGAAAAATTACTAAAGTAGCAAGAGGGTGATAGACTGCCTTAATGTGAGTATTAACTTTGCTCTCTGCTGGTAACAAAGGAGAGAAGTTTTTGTTACTGAAAGAAATTCAGAGGGAAAAAACTGAACAGCAAACAAAAGCAACACTGGTCAGTTCATTTTGGCACACATCAGGCTGCAATTCTGCTGCCAATGTCAATGTATTACATGCTGTGTAGCTATAAATTTCAGTTGTGTTTGAATAAGCACCAGCATATAGACCCACTTTGGGTCTGCCTAATGCAGTCTGTCTGTAGACAGGGCAGGATCACTGTATTTCTTCAGCTGAATGGCTCAAAAATTAAAATCTTTAGTTGCTCTCAAAGTACACGTACCTGCAATCCCTTGTAGCAGTCCACAGACATTAAAAATGCTTTTCTTCATAATACTTTGCACACACATAGTAAAGACAGACACAAATGCCACGGCACAGAGGATCATGATTCCCACGGCTAGGAAAATAGCAGTTGCCTGCCAGAACCCACTGGCAATCTCATTGAAGTTTTCAGCGTAAGGACCACAAAGTGTGTCTCGTCTAGAAAACTGCATGTGGGAGATTCTGGTGCAGCGCCCATAGATGCCCAGCGTTGGATGGTAAGGCTCCTGCGACCCCCCCGTTTTGTTGTCCACATCCTCAGAGCTTGAAGGCTTTGCTTTGCCAATCAGCCAGTCTGCGCTCATGAAAGCAATGAGCTCTGCAAAAGCCACCACAATGCTCAGAAGAGTCCATAGCATTGACCGGCATGTTACAATGACATGACACATATTGATGTCCAGTGCTTGTGATCAGTGCAGCTGACAGTCTTAAAATCCAGGCACAAGGAGGAAAAAATAAAATTAAGAAAGAAAAAAAGGACCCTAAGAAAATCACTGTGGCTGCTCTGCTGGCTCTTTCAGCTCTTTCACAAAGGCCAAGATGAAATTTCTTGGGAGAAAAAGTGAGCAGCTCCAAGTTTTGTAAGCAGTGCAGTCATTTGTTCTCTCCGTTTAGTTCCTCCTTTTTTCTTTCTGGGATGCTGAGCTCTGAACTATGCTTTTCTTTCTTACTATTCATACTGGCACATGACGCTGAAGGCTGGCAGGGGAGGCCGCAAGGACTGCCCACTGTTTGACATCACACACCTACAAGAAAAAAAGAGATAACACATGAGCAGTGAGAAAAAAGTCTTCCTTTCCACCCCCACAATGAACCATGATCTCACACAGATCCACATCAACATTCAAAAGCTTTAACAAGGGTCTGTCAACCAGAGCCTGCTGGAAACCTCCCGGGTTTGTCCCAGGGGAGTGATAAATCTCCCTCTGCCCAGCCTTACTCATGGCATCTGCCCTGCACCATCCCATCGCGGGTGTTTGTCAAGCACTTTGCAAGCAAAGGTCTCAGTAACACCCAGCGGTCCCACCCACTCCTACCACCACGCCCCCATCATATTTCTCCGGTCGAAATTACCAAGGTTCCTGGCAGTTACCCAGCAAAATGTTCGTACACGTTTAAGCAGTTTCACAGGCATGCGGCTCCTGCCTTCAGTTTAGGGAGGCAGCCCGGCACACCTTTGGGAAGGAAGCTGGGCACAGCTCCAGGTGCCATGGGCACCTAGGTGCAAAGGGCAATGACGGAACCTTGTTCCAACCTCCTGGGCTTCTGCTGACTGCAGCTGAGCCAGCCCCGGCCTCAAGAGGAGGAGAACAGGATTGCAGCTGGGGACAGCCCGCCCTGTGATGGGGTGACGCAGCCCATCCCTTCGGAGCCTGGGTTTTGCAGGAGTGGCACTTCCCCAGGTTCTGTATCCAGCTTTGCACCACTGTTTCAGAAAAGCTATCTGCCTGCTGGTATGCTGCACACCTCATCGTGAACTGATGCCAACACTGGCAGCCTTTGGTGACTTACACCACTGTAAACAGGAATCTGCGGAAAAACACCCCAGTCGCTGCCCAGTGGCCAGGAGCCCTGGTGAGAGGGGTGGCTAGTCGGCCTTGAGCTTCCTGAGTCCTCTCAGTTCCCCCCTTCCACGGCCCTGTGCAGAGTGGGACTGCAGAAAAATGTTCCCCAGGGCTTTCCCCAAGCCTTTATGATGCCTTTCAACAGCCGCTGATGACATTCCCAGAGTTACACTTATCTCAGTACAAGAAGCAATCAGAGATCACTACACTTCCAACTCATATCCAAATATTGGCCTCAAAATAACAGACGGGTCATTGCACACGCCTCTGCACTTGAACTGAAACTGAGCTGTCTGAAAGCAAGGGTGGGAGCAGGAAATGCCCTCACGTTACCCCCTCCGTGATGAGAATATAGCACTTCCAAGTTTTCCTCACAAAAAATAAATACCAGCATTGAACTGGAGGCAAGAGACTCGAGGACCAGATCTGGTCCTCACTGCTGTGCTGCTGCCAAACACAAAGGAGTTAGCAGATGCCAGAAAAAGAGATATCCCCAATTTTTTTTTTAGCTTTGTCATGGGTTTGGTATTTAGCTTCTTAGGAGTTTTGAGCCCAGCAGTTGAATCCTAGTCCCACTGAATGCAAAACAGAACACACACCCACAACTTCAACACATTCAGAACTTCATCCAGCAATTTCTACTCCCTCCTATACTAGTTAGTGAATCATCTGCAAGATTTTATCCACATTTCCCTTCCTCATCTAGATCTGCAGACCCCTCTGGTACTAGCAGATACACAGACTTAAGCTGCTGTGCCAACAACTGCATTCTGTCTCCCTTAGTCTGACATTACAGCATTGCTGTAGAAAAAGGCAAAACATATTTAGTCGTGCTTTTAGCCATACTGACATAACAGTTCAGCTCATTTTCCATTTTTTGGGTGAAAGCATTAAGTTTTCAAGCAACCTGACATACTGATGACTGCAATACACCCTTTGTAATAACAGAGCAGAAGTGTCAGCCTGCCAAAAAAAAGTTAATTCTGTCAGTATTTCCACTTTAAATAACAACTGGAATGTAGGAAATGTCTGCTACAAACTTACATTCCTCTGATGTCACCTGCACAATTAAAGAGAATTTAATAAAAAATGTCTTCATTTTTAAAGAAAAGTTCCAAAAAGCTCTAGAATCTGTATTTCTGTGCAAGCATCACACCTGTGTGAACTCATCTTGGTGATTCCAGGATTTTAATCGAGGTGCAAAGGATGTAAGAGTTGAACACCCACGAGAGCTGTTACTGCTAACTCTGTACCTGCTGAACATAAAATACTGTTTATGAACACAGATGAGAACAAAGTTCATATTTATTTAAGTAGGTGGAAATTCCAGATGAACACTGGCAGCCACATAAACATGGCACTGATAACAAACATGGGATGCCATACTAGAATCAGAAGAAAAGACCAAACCACGGGGTTCTCTCCATTTGAAATGCAAGTACAATAATAAATTGCAGTAACATTTTAAAACACAGTATCTCCAGAAAAGTCACTGAGTAAGCAAAATAGCCTACCTAAAGGTGATATGGATGTCGTGTAAAATCTCAGGATTTCACTGGAACATACACTTCCCTTTTTTGCAACATATGGAAACTTCACAGCATGGAAAAAGTAGTAAATGTCACTGATAACAGTTCAACAGAATATACTTTGCTTTTCAATGAAAACCTTCACAATTTGGCTTTTCCCAGATAACGAGTACTTTATTCAGGTACAAAAAGTATCCCCAGAGCAATGTACCCTTATTCATGGGAGAACTTCTGAATAAATTTATTCTTGAACCAATGATGCCCTCAAATGGGAGTGCCACTCACAACTCCTTTTTGTGAGCAGACAGACAGAAACACACGGAAGTAGGATGGCAAGACCGGACACAGGGCAGGGGCCACTCTCCTACAACTCCCTTTTGTGAGCAGATGGACAGAAACATAGAAAGTATGATGGTGCATAGGCTATAGGATGGACAGGGACATTTCTTCTTTGTGAAACTTATCAAGGAACGATTGCAGATAAAGTACTGGAGGTAAGTTACAGTTCAGATACACTTGTGTAGTTAACCTTTTCCTTCCAACACAGCCCACCTTGAGCTTCCAGATGAACCTAACCAATTCTCACGTCTCCAGCAGCATGTTTGTGCCATACATCAGAGCCCTCCTAGCTACAGACTGTGCTAAATAACTGCACTTCATGAAGCTTCCCTCCAGGACTCTGCTCATCCCTTTTCTTTCATTTTTCTCAGCAGAAACTCAAGCTAGGCCCTTGCAAGGCTGAAAACTGGCTGTTTATTCCTCCTCTCTGTTTCCCAAGTTTTCTCCATGACAGAACTCTATGTTTTTCAGAGCACTCCACTCAATATCCACCTCTGACCGACTGTCAAAATATTTGCTTTGACAGCCCAAATTAAAAGTCCACAACGATTCTTTAACCCCTTTGGTATTAACTCATTCAAAATAATTCTCGATGGGGAAGCAGACTACAAAAAGTAGGCTCACCCCGTAGTTATTCATTACTATTGCATTCGATTGTACAGGAGTGGAAGGAGGCCACCTGTGCTGAGGAGGCGGGTGCCCCAGGAGGGAAACTGCCTCACACAGCAAGCACCCGCGTGAGCTGCACACCACGGCAGCTCCCCAGCACAAGGGTCTTTGAGTACCACCCCACCCCACCAAACCACCCACCGCTCCCCAGCTGAACAGCACAGCTTTTGGACGGGTCAAAACTACACCTTTAGCTTCATTTACTCTGCTCCCTGAACCATGCTAATGGTTAATCTCTGCATTAAGTGAAGTGCAACACAGTGAGAAAATATCAGTGAGAACGTCAGATCCTCACAGCATCCAGAGACAATAAAACTGAGTTCCTGAATGCAAAAATCTTTTGTTTTAATCTAACAAAAGAAACCAGCTTAAAATATCACTAAAACTTTCTTCCTATTTAGATGCAATTTTGACAGCCACATACTCTACCTCAAGTTATATTTTCGTATCTGTCCTGGGTTGAGTGAGTAGTGGAGTTTTTTGGTGGCAGGGGAGGGGATTATAGGGGCGGCCCCCTGTGAGAAGCTTCTCGAAGCTCCCACAGCTCCAAGCCAGCTCCACTTCTGTTTGGAAACCGAGCCAATCAGCTGCGCCTCTGCGATAACGTATTTAAGAAGGGACGTGGTGACGAGCAATGGGACTTGTGAGGAGGAGTTGCTGCAGCTGCGTGAACACCAAGGTCAGTGGAGGAATGGAGGAAGAAAGGAGGGGGGAGGTGTGCTGGAGCAGAGACCCTCCTGTATCATGTGGTGAGACGGCAGGGCGGCCCCTCCTGCCACCCATGATCATCTACGGTGGAGCAGACATTGATTTATGGCCTGTGGCTTCTGCCTGGTTGATCAAGGTGCTGTGCCCGAAGACAGCCGGGGTCTCATGGGAAAAGGTAGCCCCGCTGCTGTAATTCAGCACTGGGAGGATTGCAGCATGCGGGGGAGTCCCACGCCTGAGCAGCTCGGGAAGGGCTGCAGCTGTGGGAGAGAATCCAGTTGGAGGAAGTTAGTGACCCATGATGGAGCAGTGTGGGGAACGCTGCAGCCCATGGGAGGAACTCATGTCAGAGAAAGTTGTGGAGGACTGTCTCCTGTGAGAGGGGTACCACGATGGAGCAGGAGGAACAAGTTCCGGACACTCCCCTCACCGAAGATGAAGGAAGTGGCAGCGCTGACTGCACCCCCCATTCCCTGCCCCTGCGCCACTGGGGGAGGAGGGAGAGATATCGGGAGCAGAGCTGAGCCCGGGAAGAAGGGAGGGGTGGGGGGAAGGTGTTCTCAAGATGTGGCAATGTTTCTCACTGTCCTACTCTGTTAAGTGTTGTTGTTAGTGTCTGTAATAAATGTATGGGGTTTTTTTAGTTCCCCTAACGAGTCTGACTTTTGCTCATGCCCATAAAGGATGATTTTTTTCCCAGTACTATCTCGAACCCCAAGCCTGGCTCTCTGTCCCTTCTTATTGCAGGAAGAGAAAGGAAAGAGAGTGGTTGGCTGCTGACCAGTCTCAAGCCACAACAGTATCTCTAGCTAAAACTATTCAGCTGTTGCCTTTTACTACACAATATTGCTATATGCTATGTAATAACATCTATTTTTCTGAACTAGATAAAGAAACATACTTGCCCTCATTTTGCTTACATGGTCAAAACTAGAA